AAGACTTATTCTTTCTAATAAAATTACAAGCAAGCAAATCCGTTGAAATTTCGCGGAGTTACAATTTTTGAAAATGAAACGACAGAACTTTTGCAACAACTTAATATTTATATTTGTGAGACAGGACGCCCTTTTTGCTGCCGGGTAAAAGAACATCTAGATGGGCTACAAAAATTCAATTCGAACACCCTGGGCTCGCACCCATGACATGGCACGATAATGTAGCGTTTCAAATTGGAGTCAAGATCTTATCGTTTGAGCCTGATACTCTAGCATGCAGAACTTTAGAGGCGTTTTGGATATCGGCGAAAAACCTAGAAAAGAACGCTAAAGAAGGGTGCATTGCTATCACGCAAGTCTCGTGCTATCAGTCCTTATGCGGATTTGATACAGAATCAGCACATATAAAAAGAGCGAAAGAATGATCTTGTTAAAACCTGTTTGTTGTGGCTCTCGAGCTGTCATTCGAGGTTGGTATCAGCTGGCGTGGTCTTCGATGCTACCGTATCTCGATCGTATATTAATCTGGCCTTTTATTGACATCTGAGAGTTGAGATTACGTAAATCTCGACTTTACGGCTCTGAGGAAAACGAAATTGCCGAAACGTCAGCCATTAAAAGATTAATAAGATCTTGGTTGTGGCTGAAATGTAAAATACACGAATATAAAAATCGTCTTCGTAATAGCAATGTCAAACAACCCCTGTGATCAAGTTTCAGCGAATTCTGTGGTTTCCGAACATTGGACCACCCAAGTGAGATGGTGATTTCCAAACATGTCATTTTTGTTCCACAAGTAAGCCAACTACTTGCTTTTGCACTCAATACAAAGAAGAGCTACTTCTTTGTCACATTAGCCCTACTTCAAACAACCTCCGATTCAAGGAATTAAGAGCAAACCAAAATATGCCACAAAAAAAATATTGCCACATATTTCGCTTTCAATATCTCAGAATAGGAAAGACCAATCAGACTCAAGTTACTATAGCATAGCTTACGAGGCTTAGGCTATCGAATATTTACATTCTTGTCGCCTTCCCTCGCGATTCACATAGTAGCGTAGATTTGGAATGTTACCGTAACCCAATATTTTCGGGTATCCTCCATTTGCATAGGTAAGGATAAACGATTATATCCATTCCTAGAAGAACCGACTTTAAATAAAATTCCTGCTGTATAAAGAAGAAGGTCAAGCAATAGCAACGATATAGAAAGCGCTGGTATTTGAGCTTTGAGGCAGGTTAATGGTATATGGCACAACCCCTGAGAAAGCGTGACAGCCACAGCTTTTCTGGGTTGTCACACCTCTTAACTTATTTTCAAAGAGAATTAGGACACAAATTATATATCGATGGCCAAAATCTCGTAGTGTTTAAGTGTTTAGAGCTGAACTCGTCTTCTTTCGTGCAATACTTGCTGTAAGCGCTACCATTGCAAGCGAAAAATGGGACAACGAGATTTTGGCTGACTCCTGACTCCATAGTTTGATGGTTACTTGAAGGGGATTCATGGTGTAGGAGATTACGGAGTAGTGTTTGTAATGAGTACAAAAAGGGTAGCTAATTCACGCTCAAAATATAGTTAAAGGCAGCGTACACCCAAAAGTTGAGTTACCCAGTTCTCTATACCGTGTATATACAGAGCCCAGAAGAAGACCAATTGCGTTGGTCCGGTCTCCCAAGTTGCTTCTGAGCGGAGAAAACCCGCCTGATTTTTCTTTCACTCCGCCTCCTTCGGACGAATCCACGACAGCGTAAGCTGCAGTTGCAGTTGCTGGCTGCAGGCTGTCATGCTCTTGCAACTGCTGCATGCCGGCGGGGACGAGCAGTTTGAAACTCGTCCGCCCTTCGAAGAGAGGGTCCCTGGAAACCGGGGTTTTTTTGAGACTTTTGGAGAATTTTAATGTCATAAATGTAATCAGGGGCACGGAAAGGCCCCAGAATGACAAAAACATCAAAAGCGAAATTTTGGGTGTACGTTGCCTTTAAGCATGTTTGAAAGTGGCCAAAATGGCCACTTCGCTTGAATGACCCAATATTGGGTACTCTCAGAATTCGCTAAAACTTCGCCCATATGGGTTATTTGACAAAATAATTACGAATATGTTACTAGTTATGCTTGGTGGATCCTTAGGTCATGCCTACGGTAGGCAAACGAAAATGCTGGGGGAGGGGGATATTGAGAAGGAACTTAGCAAGGGGGGGGGAGAGGAGATTGTATCCGGCGATAGTGTCCTACACTTCGTGCTCGACCCTGGTAATAGTTACCCGCTACGCAAGAAGAATGATATATGTGACCTAATAATAACGGGCTAAGGGTTTTCACGTCTGTTTGTCTGTGTGTCTGTCTGTAAGTCAGTCTGTCACGAAATTCGTAGAGCGAGTTCCAGCCAACCTGCTGATCCCAAATTTTGCACAGTTCATGCTAGCAACATGAGAATCTAACATACAAATGCACAAGCAGATCCCTTGAGTGGCTCCTTCAACAAACGCTTGTCAACCAATCTACTTGGCCTTTGGCCAGAAATTGAGCGTGTAGCACAACTTTGCAAAGTCACTGATATATTTGACAAGCTAATGTGCAAGCCATGAACTCAAGCCTAAATACCCTAATTTCACGCGTACAAGGCGCGGGGAATTTTTTTCAAAATCGACCAGCCCAAATACGCCAAAGAACTTCGCAACCAAAGGACCCTATGCCTTGCTGTATATTGCTTAAGAGAATCGTACGGCATAAGGATTGCTTTCCGAAATAATTTAAAGCGGCTGAGGGGCTTAGTCGAAAAATCGAAAAAGGTGCGCCTTGTACACGTGAAATTAGGGTAAGTGGACTGAAGTTTATTGCATCGCAAACACGGTGTCAAAAAGTATTGGTTGCGTAAATGTTCAATTTACCAAGATTTCATCCGATCTTTGAGAATATTTTTGCACAGAGATGTAGCCCACGAGTGATTATCGCATCTTATAATGAACTAGTTGGCAAACCCGGCTCCGCCCGGCCCTGTCAATAACATATTTGTAATCAGCATGCTCGATTACCCCCTGTGCCAACTCCCAGCCCCGTAGCTCAAATTTTGCAAAAAATCGATAAAATCAATATCGATCGATAACGAAAAGTAGCCTATGACACGCTCCCAACCCCGAAGTATATGTGTGCCAAGTTTGGTCCAAATCGGTTCAGAAATAAAAGTTTCTATTCCGCACATACGTACAGACATACACAGGGTCAAGCGTGGAGCGCGGCACGCCACACCTAGGGGGTCGTATTGAGGAGTCAAAAGGGGAGAGGGTCGTAGTTGGGTAATCTGATAATAGTGACAACATGATATTCGTATCATATCCATAATTAGCATGTCAATTAACCCCTGTAGACAAAGCGTGAGCGAATTCTGAAGATTTAAGATACTAGGCTAACTAAATGAAATGGTCAAATTCCAACATGGTTAACTTTGTTTCAAAGGTAAATTAGCTATCCGTTTTTGCACTCAAGACAAAGCAGTGCTCCTTCTTTGTCCACCTCAGGAATCCCCTTCAGAAGACCTGCAAACTGTGGAATTAGAAGCCAGCCAAAATCCCAATTTTCCCATTTTCGCTTTTGATCGCTGTGCTTTCACCAAATATTACTTAGAGCTAAGAAGAAAAAACAGGCTCCAAACAGTCCTATGGAATCTACAAGGTTTAGACTATCGATTCATATAAATACTGTCCGCTAAAAATGTTTTTTTGATATAGTTAATGGTGTGCCGCACCCCCTTAACTTGCCTTCAAAATCCAGAAAGCGCTCCACTGCTGGTATGAGTATTGAGCACATAGCTTCTTCTTGCTACATTGGAAATTTGGAGCCGAACGCCCCACCCATAAGAAAATTATAGCCCTTCCAATATGCCCGTTCAGATCAAGATCAGCCGTCAAATTACGTGTGATTGTAAAGTGCAGTCACAGAAAATCGGGAGTACAGCTCTCAGAAATCTGAAAACTCTCTAGAAAAGATGGTGTCCTCCAGAATGTCACACTTTGAGGTCCAGAGGTTAAGAGGAGGAAGAAGGGGTCGTTTGAGGGCTTTCATGGGATGGGGGGGGGGATTTCGAAAGACTTGCGCCTGACCTCTTTCTCAACTCTGGTAATGCTATCTCAGGTATATAGTTCAGGGGGGAGGGAGTCTTATTAAGACAGCAATCAAGGGGGGGGGGTCGTAACAGCGATCGTGTGCCACACCCCTTGCTTGACCCTGGACATACATACAGACAAACACACATTCAGCTTTATATTTAAGACTAGCTGGCTTACCCGGCTTGTGTATATTCTTCCACCGAAAGGGAGCTGACTTGCAACAGTGTGATCGTTTTGATTTATCTTGTCTGTCTGAACAATACCACACTCTGCCCCTTTGTCATGTCCTGGTTACATGACAAGACATCATGACAAGCTCAGTCGTTACGATGCATGATCTATGAATCTGAATGTGACAAATCGACTTCCGTGAATCAAAAGAATGAAAATTGCGGCGAACTGCACTCCTAGATAGAAAAGCGCCTTCGCAAAAATTGATTTGCTTATAACCCATCTTTTCTGGTGAATGGCGCTTATGTTCACTCATTTGTTCCAAAGCTAGATAACGTGTTCCGTAGGTCCTAATGCTTGATCTTTTTAATCTTGAACTGAGGAAACCAAAAGTTGCACTACCAAACTCGTGACAAGTACCAACAACAAGGAGTTAAACAGGTTTCAGTGACACATCTACTCCGTACACTGCTTGCCATATTTGACCAGTAATTTGACTCTAGGCAACAAATAAATCAATAGGAACACCGAAGAATGCTGCTACCACAAGTGCACCAGCCGGTGTGCCGAAAGAGCGTCAGTCCTGACCTTGTTGACCTCGCGCTCGGTGTCACAGGCGCTCATGAGGGGCATGGCCTCCCTGCGCCCGCTCCAACTGGGTTTTGTCGCCTTCCGGCCTCCACTGCATGCCTGGCAGCATGGCAAGCACTTAGGCGTAAAATGAGTTGTCAGGTTACAGACATTGCAATAAGTTTACGCCTCACGGTAGAAGTTCGGAATCGTTTGCTTTTCATAATCGTATACGCAAGGTACTTCTGTTTTGCCTTCAACATTATAAAGTAGGTTCTAGTCATCTTTTTTTTACAACTCTACTGAAATTCTTTGCGATGCCGAGATAGCAAGCAACGTAAAGCCGTAGCTCGCCATCCTGTGCCATTTCTTTTATGAGTTATGTGTCGGCGCCGACCTAGCCCCGCTTTTGTCGCCGATAAAGTTCTGACCGGAGCGTTTGTCTGGTTACAAAAGCTGTATAATTGTTGGCTTACGCTCTGCACCTAGCTATCTGACATCTAAGGAGTGGGATCACTTAGCCAAGTATCATTCTGCACTAAGAGATTTGAAACCGCTTTGCATATTGTCAACTAGAAAACAAGATTTGTCGTGTGTTTTATCTAATCTGGGAGTATTTGCTACATGGACGAGAAGAACAAGACCCTTGTTTGGACAATGTTGCAAGGCGATTTCAAGTACCCTATTTTCCGGCGTATAAGCCGCAATTATTTTCACCGCGCGCGGTCTAACGTGCGTTGTCGGTCGCGAAGCGCGAAGCCGCGCAAGCTGCCAAACTATCTGTTTTACCTAATAACTTGATAGTAGTTCTGCTTTCATAGTATATTAGTCGTAGAATGAACGATACCATGTTTCGCGAACTGTTCAAGTCATGGGAGGCATGACGGCGCTTCGGTACCCCCTTCAATGTATTGTGCAGCAACGGCAGCTCACAGAACGCCGAAGGTAGCCGAGGGTGTGGCTCCCGCTGCTGAAATAAATTATCTGACTAGCGCAGAGATTTCCGTATTGCTTCTCGCAGAACATGCGACAGTAAAAGACATCACTCGTTGAAGGTTTGGCCACGCAACAAAATTGCTGACCGCTTGCGAGAGAGCGCGAGGCGGTCCGCCTACCTCCGGTGATTCTGAGATGTTGATCTCGGCGATTCATCGAACTTATCTCTACTTTGATACCGGGCATGATTTTATAGGTCTAATTAAGTAATAAGCATCCTTCTTGTATGTAAATCAGTTTACTGGAATCGCGCGCATTCGTATTCCACTCTATCCTGAAGCTTCCCGCATTGAGAGCCAGGCATATATCACGTAATGTCTCATTTCGCGATCGTTCGTCAAGATTAACGGTTACGAGCCCTGCATCTCGATCATCTTGCATTGATCGCGAGTAACTATCACAATCGAAATGCACGATGATCGGCATGCGATAAACTCGTAACAGTTCCTTGTCGGGAGAATAGCGAGGCGAAGAAAGCGCATGACGTATATACTGCACCGGCCCCTTTTGGAGTGTAGCTCAATAGAAAGTGTACGCCAGCGCAACTGCTTAAATTGATTTTTCACAGCAGAGTGAGTCCAACATGCGGATTAGGTTTGCGTTCATCATCTTTTAGAGTGCAGCAGTTCAATCCCTAGTTATTTAAAGCCAAGACCCAGCACAGACGTAGCGAAATCGAACCAGACTTCGTTTGCGGGGCAGATTAGCAGAAGGGTAGCGCCGCGGGCAGGCGGACCGCAAACTCGCGCTTTCTTGCAAGCGGTCAGTGGAATTTTGGGGCATGGCCAAACCCCTAGCGGTATTTCCTTTACTGCCGCATGTCTGTCAGTGGGCAGCAATGCAGAATTTTGTGCGAGCGTTCGTCAAATAATCTGTTTCAGCAAGCGCTGGCCGCGCTGGCCAAACTTGCAGTAAGCGCTCAGGCTTTTTTTACGCACTTTCGAGCGAACGTCGAGCAAAGATAGCACCCTACATGGCAGAAATGCCATCAATATCAAGTAACCAAGCACTGGAGCACTTTCTCTCAGTGAAAAGTACCTATGGGTTGCAGTCCTTCACGAAGGAACATGTGGCCCATAACAATTTTGGATAGTCTTGCGGAGGTCCACGGAATGCGACCATTACGCCGCATTTGATCTAAGGAAAAGCAGCGATTGTTTTCTGAGCGTTCCTCTAAAAAATAATCAACAATCTTCCAAATGTCTGCAAACGGGCCGCAAGAAATCGGCGAACTATTTCTTTGGTGCCTGCTTGCCTGTACATCGTGGAACCTATCACGACAACTCTTTGAGCATATAATACTTATCAGTGCTTCACCTCTGCTTCGCAGAGGCTCGCACTGGCTTTACTTTCTAGGCTCTACTCATTCTGATAATAATGGTAATGCATAATGATGGCATTGAAACTCACCGAGCAATGCCGAGTATCACGAACAAAATATACAACTACCCATTCTGAAAGCATTTTTATCTGAAATTGGTCATTTCGCGTGGAGGAAACTTTTTGCAGGAGAAAAACGCAAATTTTTATATGTTTTTGATTTTCTCATGGTCTTGACAGTTGCCATAAGAACAGTACTCACCGTGTGCTGAATTTTTGTGCAAAAATCTCCTCAAATGCTTTGGTAAAACCTTGGCAAATTGACCATTTACGCAACCAATACTGTTTGGCGCCGTTTTTGTAAAGCAATGGACTTTCAATCACTTTTTTGGGTCTACGTTCATGGCTTGCACATTTACTTGCCATAAACATCCACCGCTCTGCAAAAAGTGGAATTACGGTCCCAGTTTTATCGGCCAAATACAAAGTGGATCCGTTTGGCAGGGTTCATACTGTGCCGCTTTCTGCGGCTCAGTATGAACCCTGCCTTTGACGCGCAGTTTTTAAGAGACCCACACAACGAATCTGCTTGTGCTTTTGCATGTTGAACTTTCATGCCAGCAGCAAGTGATATGCAAAATTTGAGCTCAGGACGTTGGCTGGAACACGCTCTACGAATTTCGTGACAGACAGACATTCAGACGGACACACACACAAAAACACGTAAACACTCTTAGCGCGTTATTATAGTAGGATATTACAGTCAAATCATCTCATGTGTTCATGTTCGTCACTGCACATACGGTCCACTTTTGGGGTCCTCATCCCGGATTTTAGGCACAGACAGTCCTTCTGCGAAGTGTTTCCGATGTTTTCTTCAAGCTTTTTCTCCTTTAGTACTCTGCGTTGATACCACTGCTTTGTGTGTGATGTATGTGATGTAACAATCGGTCGGTTTCTTGCGTTTTTGCGATTGCAGTGCAAGGATGGGGACGCCAAAGGTGACCAATGTGTGCAGTGACACACATGATCAAGTGAGATGATTCGACTAAAATTATCACACCACTACGCGCGGGCTGGCTTCCTAGCTATAATATGACTACAAACAACAATCTTTCTTACTTCACTTCACACACAAATAAGAAAAAGGCAAAAAAAGTAAAAACAACATTATGGCATTCTGTGGCTATGGAACCAGCGCGCGCGTATCGTTGCTGGTGGAGGAAAGAAGGCCGCCAATTTGGGCCGCCCTGCGCGGACTACTAACTAAAACTGTGGCAGCATGCGTACTCTGCGGCATAGCAGTGATTCGGACAGCTCGGAGGACCCCGCCCCAAGGCCTAGTTTCCCCACTTTCCGGTCGTTTTTCTTGCTTTAGGTCGAGCGTTATAATATCGCACTTGCGCGATGTTGTGTCTAAACTCAGACAGTTGGAGCGTGCGGCGCACGCGCCTTTATGGTCGATGCGGCAAAGCGCGTGTCTTATTTGTGGGCGTGTCCGGCAGTACGCCAAACGCGTGCCATGCTAGATATTTGGTGCGCGCCGCGCGCGTACTAATGGCCAACACCGCGGCCCGCGCGCTACGTTTATGTTCGATTTCGCGACCCCCGTGCCTAATTTTTTAGCACGCCGCGCGCGTGCCTTTATACTACACCCGTGCGGCCCGCGCGCCTGCAATTATCACGTGCTGTAAGCGTAAGGGATACCCGCGTAGTGTACGACGCAGGGTCAGGCTGCCTCAACATCCAGGAGGTTTGATATCACATCTTAATGTATGAGTAGTTGCAGAAAAGAAGTTGTTTTTTGCTTCCAAACGTCAACCCTCGGTAGCATTGTGAGTGGGCGCTGGAAACGAATTCTTGGATTCGAATAAGAATTCATATTTTTGGCGTTTGAAAGTGTGGATCTGATCAAGAGTTGCCACATATAGCGCAATGAGAAACCTGGGAAATGGCAGCCATCCGCGGACCAGCAGCAGCAGCGCGGCATCCAATGTCCCGCCATCCGCGGACTGGGTGTTGCCCACCCACCCGTGATTGCACGCGCGCTGCACGCTCCAAGTATCTGAGAAGGGGGCCACTCTCGCATGGCACTGAAATCCCAAAACTCCCATCTTGACCGGACACTGCCTTCAAGGTGAAAAACGCTGTGTCGAGATTTTGGCAGCACTTCTTGATCCACTTTCGAAAACGATATAAAGTCTAATTTCTGTCATAGACTGATAAACTATATAAAGGCTGCTGCAGGACGAAGGCGCAGAAGCAGTATTAGCTGAGCGGGCGCGAACGACGCTCGCGTGTCCTCACTGTTGCAAATCCTGCACCTCGTGCGTTCTGCGGCTAATAAAGCCACGTTCGCGCCCAAAGATATTGCGCGTTCGTCGTGCAGCAGCCTATACTCATACTCATGAGTGCAAGAAAACTTACTTTTCATTTTTGTTAGCAATTAATCATGTTTGAATCACGCTTTTGTGACATCAGGAATTACTAGGAAATGTAATAGTTAATAGTTTGTAGAACGCTTTCAGGTTGTTTGACATGGTGATTACGAAATTATACTACGCGGCAAGCTTCTTTGGGGGCCTTACGGTATGTGTAAGGTGAGAGATGAAAAACTGAAATTTGGTTTAGACTTCGTTAGTGGACTTAATCAGTGTGCTGTTCGCAACAATCCTTCTCTGGTGAAGTTGTGGTATTCACTGGTCCAGCGCTTTTCTCCATACCTTACTCGATCGTAGGATCTCCTCAATTCCTGAACAAATTTGTCTTAAGGGCGCTGTCCGGACAAAAAGTCGATTTTGTGCTTTCCCGGGCCTTGCTATGCTGAATCCGAAATCCACACTAGAAAGCGCGAAAACGGCGAAGAAGGGCTCCAACACAGGAGAGAAATTAGATGGGAGAAGTCTCCACTATGAATTCACGCTCCCAATTTCCGGAGCAATCTTACTAATTTCGTTGGCCATCCTGACATCTCCACCGGCCAAGTAGGAACGCTTGACTCTTGAATTCGGAACCGAGAAGATTGCTCCGGAAGTTGGGAGCGTGAACTCATAGTGGAGACTTCTCCCATCTAATTTCTCTCCTGTGTTGGAGCCCTTCTTCGCCGTTTTCGCGCTTTCTAGTGTGGATTTCGAATTCAGCATAACGTATAGGCCCGGGCAAGCACAAAATCTCAAAATCGACTTTTTGCCCGGACACTGCCTTCAGTTACGACCCCTCCCGCTGCCCCTCAGTCTTACTCCCACCCAATACGACTCCTAGGTCGGGCACGCCTGACCCCACGCTCAATCGTGTTGAGCAGCAAGTTCATGTATGACCTTCAACATCTTCTGGCTAATTTACTTGAAAATCGTGAGGCACTTGTTTGGGCTTCCTGAACAACGTATCAGCAGCCACGAGTATCCCAATCCCGAAATGGATATACAGCTCTTATCAATTGCAGAGTCGGGCCGGGTGGGCCAGCATCTCCGCTCTCGCTTGGCCGCCTCGCCTGGACTCTCCACCTCTCTCATGAACATGCTCTTAATCATGCTTAATAAGCGGTTGAAATTCCGCCTTTCCCACGCTTATGACGGGAAAGTGAAAAGAGAGCATGTGCGCAAAGTAAATGCAGAGTCCAGGCGAGGCCGCCGCGCGGCAGAGATGCTGGTACACCCGACTCTGCAGCTGTTAAGCCCTGTATTTATTTATGACTATCTATGTTTGGATTTAATCGGCCTAAGATTCGTATAGAAGCGGGTTGCGGTTGACGGACTTTACTCGATTGGGATAAACTTGTTAAACCTCCACGTTATAGTTTTCGTTCTCTCTCGCTATCACAACACGTTTTGACATGTCGTGACTGCGCCCCAATGCGAGTCGTGGAGCCGATGATACATGAGTAAAAGTAGTCCTCATTCATTTGTGGCTCTATCATTTGGCGGTTGTCAAGGTGGTTAGAGGTGCTTTTTTATAACTCTCTTTCGCGTTACTCAAAACTGTGCAATGTCAGGACGAATTCGTATGAGTTTACATTCTTTCAGAAATTTATCGAGGGTCTTGGGTCGATTTGACCACGGGCAAGGCCTCACCTTCATCTTCCAAAGCAAAATCTGTGCTTCTTCCATCACACAGTGAGCACGTTAGAATGCCTAACATCAAGGTGAACATGCACGTCCAATCTTACCTTTTTAGTTGTAGTAGCTATGGCTGTAAAGATACTATTTATAGGTGTTTTCCGGTTCATCTCATCGCGATCTTTCACAGCGTATCTGCGAAAGGCTTCAGTTGGAAGTATCAAAAGCTTCTCTGAAAAAGTTTAGTAATAAAGTATGTAGCTTTAACCACTTATTTTTCCAATTTCCTTGGGAAAATCATATGTGAAGTAGTTTTTGGTTTTTCTTTCTCAGGAAACCAATGTGGAAATAGGAGAATCAGTTCGTGGGGAGGATGTATACATAATCCAGTCAGCGGCAGGAGAAATTAACGATAATTTAATGGTTTGTTCCACAGTACTTAAACCTTGTTTTATCTTACTGTGGTTGCCGACGCGGTCAAATGTGCGGATGGATTTCCTAGTATAATTCCGAGAGTGAGGGGTGATTGATAAAAGGTGACACTTAACTTCTTGCCTCATGTCAAATTTGCTCTACATGAACGGTAAAGTCTCATTGCCGGAACTGGAGGGGACTGTGAAGAGAATGGAACAGTTCGTGGTGCTAATTAGTCTTTGCAAAGAGAGAATGAATTCTACGAATTATTGTAAATTGCAAACCTGATACTTATTTCGCTATTGACTGCATTCGGGCTTCTCGTATAGACCTGATCGAGCACTCTATGCAACCTGTGTCAATCATAAGCTCCCTCTTCCATCGGCGCAATCACACACTATAGTTTCGTGCCACGTCTACTTGCCTCTGGCTGTGGCATCCAAACTGACCTCATCCTGTAGATACGCATGCAAGGCTTCGCGTAGCAGCTGCATAGTTCCCGTGCAAAAAGGAGTATGTATAGGGCTCTGCGTGATCGTGAGAGTCGATGGGCTTGCGGCCATAGCACCCGCCTTGAGCTTTTTCAGTGATCGTTCTCTCTCCTTTCAAATGCTTTTCTGCTAGCTATGTTGGCTTCCAAATACTTGAAACGACTTTCAGAAGTACGTGATAGTTAATTGTTGGAGAGCTTCTGGCATTCTGCGTGTGCAATGGCCGCAAACTCACCGACTCCCGCGATTACGCAGAGCTCCATACTTGACACAGACTGTATACTCATGATTAGAGGCGAGCATGCTGCATACAGTGACCGCCGAAAAGTTGCGGACAAGCCGTCTTCCTTTTTTCATCGCTCATTTTCGGATGGAAAACAAAGAAAAAATGATTGGATTGCATGAGGTGATAGAGTTTTTCAAGAGCTACAACCCACACATTGCGCTTTCTGGAAAATGTTTATTATAAAAACTGCAAAAGTCTTTTCCTAAAAAAAGTCCGAAAATGGCCGCGTCGCAATGTCGCGGACATTAGGTAATTCTTCGAACGCGAAAATTTTCGTTTAGGTCTTTTCTTGGAGCAAAAACAGAAGTTTTCCGGACAGGTAAGCATACTATGTTGTAGAGCTCATCGAGGACAACAAACGGGTAGTAATTACTTCCAAAAAAACCCAAGCTTGAATTTTATTTTGCTTTTTTTTCAAAAATAACTTCTAATTTCCCAATTTAAGCCAAATTTCTTCGCATGGGAACCTATTCAAGATATCCCAACAAAGCTAATTGGATAAAATGGATGCCTTTTGATATCTTCTATACATCCGACATGTGCTGTCAAGTTTCTTTGCTGAAAATGGCTCTTGACAGTGAGTGCACATGACCCCACCTGCATCTCACCACTGACTTGCACCGCTTTGCAGGCCTGTAGCTCGGCCGGCAGTCAATCTACGAGCCTGCAGGTAGGCTCATTCGAAAGAGCGTGAGTTCCTCGACACGATGGTATGCAAATGAATTGAGTTTGGGAGGAACCGGAGATTTGGCAGATGGGGTGATAAAGCGCAGCCTTAGAGGCGAATGGAGTGAAGGCTCTCATCAACATCAAAACAGTCTTAGAGCTCCGAAATGGGTCTATTGCAAGAAAATTAACGGTTTTAAACTTCCAGGATGGCACTGGTGGTGAAAAGAGCTTTGCTCAACTCTAACTTAAAAATCCTCAACCTACAACAGCTGCGCTTTATCACCCCATCCGCCAAATCTCCGGGATTTCTCACAACCAACTCTTTTGCATACCATCGTGTCGAGGAACTCACGCTCTTTCGAATGAGCCTACCTGCAGGCTCGTAGATTGACTGCCGGCCGAGCTACAGGCCTGCAAAGCGGTGCAAGTCAGTAGTGAGATGCAGGTGGGGTCATGTGCACTCACTGTCAAGAACCATTTTCAGCAAAGAAACTTGACAGCACACGTCGGATGCATAGAAGATATCAAAAGGCATCCATTTTATCCAATTAGCTTTGTTGGGATATCTTGAATAGGTTCCCATGCGAAGAAATTTGGCTTAAATTGGGAAATTAGAAGTTATTTTTGAAAAAAAAGCAAAATAAAATTCAAGCTTGGGTTTTTTTGGAAGTAACTTCTACCCGATTGTTGTCCTCGATGAGCTCTACAACATAGTATGCTTACCTGTCCGGAAAACTTCTGTTTTTGCTCCAAGAAAAGACCTAAACGAAAATTTTCGCGTTCGAAGAATTAATGTCCGCGACATTGTGACGCGGCCATTTGCGAACTTTTTTTAAGGAAAAGATTTTTGAAGTTTTTATAATAAACATCTTCCAGAAAGCGCAATGTGTGGGTTGTAGCTCTTGAAGAGCTCTATTATCTCATGCAATCCAATCATTTCTTCATCCTTGTTTTCCATCCGAAAATGAGCGATGAAAAAAGAAAGGCGGCTTGTCCGCAACTTTTTTGGCGGTCACTGTACATAATCACAGCGTAACCACAGTCCTCAAGCCTCATTGTTTCAACGATACAGCACATGGCATGCGAGATTTGTTACCAATACAAATTTCTTTTACCCACAGCTGAGTATGTTGAAGTCAGCATCGTTGCTTTTCGCAGAGAAGTGAACTGGGGCTCGCATACGGAGAGCATATCTGCAGGTTTTGTGAGCCGTTTGCGGTGATTTACAGCGGATTAAGGGTGGTGACGCGTGCAAATTTTGGCTGGGTTCATACTGATTCCCATGTTCTGGAATTGTTCCCGCACAGTTCTCGCACTGTGCTGGAACTGTTCCGGAACTGTGCTGCATGCGCTGCAGCCGCCCCGCACACGTTTTGAACGGCGGGACTTGGAGAATTTTGACCGTTTTCAACGGTTTTTCTTTCAGATTTCTCTCATTTTGGCCTTATTCCTCCACCCCGCTTCCCATTTTGATCGGCAGAACTTCGAACTCGAAGCGGGGTTGAAGAATGAACGCTTTTCTGCTCTGTGTATGCGACAGAACGTGTGTTCTTGTGCTCGTCCATTCTCTCTTCACTAACTTTGCCCAAAATTACTTCATTTGTTCCAGGAAGCCGCTGTGTAGTTTCCATAGCCATCTGTCCCGAATTAGGGAGTAGGAGTAATTTTGAAAATGCATGAATTGGGACCTGTCTCGTGTTTTTGATGAGCTTCGTTTTTCGGCGTTCTCAGCTCCTTTTTTCCACATCGTTGCTTCTCCGTTCTTTCTTCTACCCCGCTTCTCCTTGTGATGAAAAAGCTGCCAACTTGAAGCGGGGTAGGATTGAACGGTGTTTTGCTTCATGTATTCGGGAAGATGGGCCTTCGTGCGCTCGCGTCCATCTTCTCTGCCATTCTTGTTCAGCCTATTTCATGTGTTCTGGAGCCTGTCAATTTCAATACAGAAGCGAGATTACGCAGCGGCTTCCTGGATTAAATGAAGTAATTTTGAGCAAAATTAGCGAAGAGAGAATGGACGAGCACAAGAACACACGTTTGTCGCATACACAGAGCAGAAAAGCGTTCATTCTTCAACCCCGCTTCGAGTTCGAAGTTCCGCCGATCAAAAAGGAAAGCAGAGTTAAGGAATAAGGCCAAAATGAGGGAAATCTGTGAGAAAAACCGTTGAGAACGGTCAAAATTCTCCAATTCCCGCCATTCAAAATGGTGCGGGCGGCTGCAGCGCACACAGCATAGTTCCGCAACAGTTCCAGCACAGTGCAAGAACTGTGCAGGAACAGTTCCAGAACATGGAAATCAATATGAACCCAGCCTTGCTACGCGCGAAGGCACTTCGCATGGGTGCGTCACCCAGTTTGGACCATTGCAGGACGAGCTGGCCCCTTAGAGGGGCATCGCTACGCCGAGGGTTCAAAAGGTAATTTTTTGGGCATGCGTGCACCTCGGTAATAATCTCGTTCGCTGTAAAAGTTAGGGAAGCATCAAATTGTTCAGCAATGGGGAGGCAGAATTGCGAATGCGCGTTCTTCGGGCGGCAGGGGGGGGGGAGAGGAGAGTGATGGCTATGGCCAGCTTTTTCAGAAAACCAACTGACATCGCCATTCAGAAGTTTTGAGGATTTGAAAGCTTTCATGAATCTCCTGCAATAAGGTTGTGGCTTCGGTATTCTGAAGAATGATTCAGGAGTCGTCATTGTGAATGGAAACAATCATCGTCAATCCCCAGCAAGATATGTGCCCATTCGCATCACTTTACAGTTTCAGCGGATTTTCCCCACATGCACTTCAGCGATTGTTCCTCTTTCTACTTTATGCTGCAGTCCATAGAAGAGCTATGGACGAATTTCCATTGAGTCAACTCACTTTTACATATTTTCGCCTAGCAAAAACGTCAAAAATTAAATAATCTACTCTGGATTGTTACGAGTTTTCACTTCTGTTTTTTGGTCTTCTAGCAAGAGTAAACGCTTCGGTCGAATTGTTCTTTTGAGATGAGATGCTTACCTTGAAGGCCATGAAGGGTTGTTTCTAACTCTACCTTTTTTATCTGCGGAGCTTTTTTGAGTAAGGAGATATGAGGATTTGTGGTGCAAACTGTTGACTGAGTAACTAGGATAAAACCAGTTGTTGAAGTTTCTCCAAAACAAGTAAGGTAGCGGTAAGCAAGACCACACTCAGAGTAAGACTATCTAACACGGAGTGCACTGACAATCATCACTATCGCTTTTGAGGTCTGGCTGTGTTCATGCTGAAAACGGGAAGTTCAGGAACAGTTCCAGCATAGCGCTCGAACTAGGCGCTGTGGTGGAATTGTTCCTGAATATCCGAATCAGTGAATGCAGCCTTTAGGAGAAGTTACACGAAAGGCAGAATACGAATCAATGTTTTAAGCCCTACAAGGAGATATGCATCTCATCACAAACGGCCATTTCGACCTATCTTCTATCCTTGTATGTAAGTTTTGCTGTCTTTTTTCTTTGATCTCAACTTACTGGTTCTCACAGTGCCATGTTTTGCGGTAGAAACATTGTTGTTGACTTCGGTCAGGCAAGCAAAGTTCCTCATCATTGGTCAGTCCTCATTTTTTTGGATAAGGAGAGGCGAGAAGAAGGAAATAACATTGACAACCCACAGCGTTGCACGCATTTGCACCATAAATGCGTTAAAAAATCAATTAGGGACTTGTATATTCAACTTATTAACGGCTTTTCGTCTCCGTCCATTCATACAGGTTGAAGGAAGAAGTGCTCTCACATAAATTATTTTTCTTGGTATCTTCATATCCTTTGCATTTACAGAATGTGTTATGGTAGTGGTAATTTAGGAACTCCTTATAATGATCAATGCTTGCAAGATTGCCTCTTCATGTCGAGTAGCCGCTGTGATACCTTGTTTCCCGTACGCTCGTCAAGACAAAAAGGACAAGTCTCGTGCTCCGATTTCTGCAAAATTGGTAATTTGTAGTAATTATATACTCAGATAAAACGGAAGCATAGCATATGTTTCTAGGTTGCAAACATGCTTTCGGTAGCGGGTGCAGATCATATAATCACAATGGATCTTCATGCTTCGCAGATACAGGTGATTCCTTCAGGCTCTCCACTTGAATGTCATAGGAGTTAGGGGGGAGGGGTGGTTTTTTTGACATCTCCGTGGTCTCAAATTGAATGTCATGGGAGTTAAGGGGTTTTTTGACATCCCTGTGGACAACCTTTATGCGGAACCAGCAATTCTAAAGTATATCAAAGAGTCGATCCCTAACTGGCAAACATCTGTGATCGTTTCTCCTGACGCCGGAGGAGCAAAGAGGTGATAAACCTTCATTTCATTTCTTCACACATCTTCTGAACTTCTTCTTGCTTAGAGTCACATCCATAGCCGATCGTCTGAACGTTGATTTTGCCTTGATTCATAAAGAGAGGAAACGCGCCAATGAGGTGGAAAAGATGACTCTTGTGGGAAATGTTCAAGGAAAAGTATGTTGAACTTTTGTCTTTGTTTTGTCTCCTTATGGACAACATGTTCTAGGTTGCCATACTTGTGGACGATATGGCAGACACATGTGGAACAATATGTATGGCAGCTGACAAGTGAGCATTTTGATTATGCTATTTCTTCTTTATATAAAAGTAGTTGAAGATATCAATGTCATTATTTAGGCTGGTTGAAGCCGGTGCAGAAAAGGTCTATGCATTTTGCGTTCATGGAATATTCTCGGGACCAGCACTGCAGCGCTTGAACAGCTCGAAATTTGAAGCTGTTGTAGTTACTAACACGATTCCCCAGGATGAAAATATGAAGCAGTGTCCGAAGATTCAAGTTGGTTCTCATTGCATTCATTTACCAAATTATTTTTCTTCTTGTAAAGGCGTCACATGGTGGAGATCTCGTAAAGGTTTCAAAAAAAGGACTTCCATCATAGCAACGATCTTGCAATGATATATGCTGCGAAATAGCTGATCTTGAAGGCAGTGGCTAGATAAAATGGATCCCTGCCAATTTCGGTAGTGTTAGATATTATACCCCCTCAAGGTACACCATAGCTCCATTTGCACCCTTCAATTAATGCGAAAAGTTCCGAAAGCCGCTTCAAAAGTTCATCAGTCCTGTCCACTTTCATCATGTTGGCGCCATTGGGCTTTTAAGGCGCGTTTTCAGGACTTTGGTAGGTGCCAGACTTATCCGGTTTAACCGGTTCATCTTTTTCACTCATTCACTTGAACAAATCAGTGAAATGACTAATAGCGAATGGGAACTGCAGGAACCGATAGAACCACCGGCTAAGTCTGGCGCCTACATTAGCGCATGAATTGGAAGGTGAGATGGGGGCTATAATGTGTTTGGGGTGTCTACTATCCAAACCTACCAAAATCTGGCAGGGTCCAATTTGCTGAGGCCACTGCCTTTAAGTGCGAGCACTGACAATCGACTTTAGTGACTTTTTCTTCCTCTTCTTGAAGGCAGTGCCCAGGCAGATCGGAGCGCAAGGGGTTTTTGCCTGGAAATTGATGAGGGAGTCCTAACTAAGGCACAGCCCAAGGGGTAGCGCAAATTGTTCATTCACGGCTGAGAAATCCGTCCCCGAAAACCCCGAGCCTGCACCGTGACCGTAAGCCAAAGACACCCTCTCAGTTCAAAGGCAGTGTAAGGGCAAGATGGGGGTCTCGGGATTATAGTGCCATGGGAGAGTGGCTCCCCTCAGACACATCATCGCGCAAGTGCGACGTCATAAAACTCAACCTAAAGCAAGAGAAACGACCGGAAAGTGGGGAAACTTACGCCTTGGGGCGGGGTCCTCCGAGCTGTCCGAATTCCTGCTATGCGGCAGAGTACGCATGCTGCCACAGTTAAAATGCAGGTTCCCGCAGCGACTCTGTGTCTCTGCCTTGGTGGGGACCGTCAAATTTCAAATTGTGCGGCTTTGGAAAACGTATGTTCTCTCCTTTTTCGCGTCTTCTAAAGTGGATTTTCGGATTTAGCGTTGCGGATGACCCCGGTAAGTGGATTTAGAAATCGAATTTTCGCCCGGACACTGCCTTTAACACTACGTTCGCACTGGGACTAATTCTAAGTGTTACAATCATGGCGCAGCCGCGGAAGGTTTAGAGACGGATATCTCAGCCGTGAATGAACAGTTTGCGCTGCGGTTTGGGCAGTGCCTTAGCTGGAACCTCCTCATTTCCATGCATGAAACCCTCATGCTCAGATTTGCCTGGACATTGCCTTCAATTAAATCGTGGTAGAAGAAATCGGAATTGCTATGATTTAGTGACCACCAGTGAAGCTCCACTTTTTGAAAAATTATTCTCGTACATGACATCCATGAGTTGATTTGGACTCAAGAATGTATGCACTTGGCTGAAAAATATAGCCAAAGTTTGATACTTACTCTAATTACGGATCACAGTTCATTTTTTTGTGCAGATTTATATAGTAAGTATCAAATCTCAAGCTGAATCTTACTAAAACCTTGAAAAAAGTAGTGGTCATCTTTGTTTGACATAAACGATAGCCGTATCTGGAAAATGTTCCATCCATTGGATCATTCGATTTTCGCTCATTTCGGCACCCTTACTTTGAAAAAAAAACAAAACTTTTCCCAGATCTATCCTTCTTCCACCATACTTTATTGTGTGCGAAGGACCTTTTGATAGTTATAAATGCAGCAGTAATTTCAGATTTCAATTTACGGTCTCTAATCTTACATTGTGTTCGAAATGGCACATTTCACAAGGTCAAGTGTACAAAACCAACACACTGATTTGAGTTCATCACCATTTTAGAGTCACTGTCTGTTCATGGTCATACTTCTAATGCTTGTTTTGAATGATTCATCACGTCGCTTCTTAGGGCTGCATGCACTAACATCCCCGCCGGAAAGGACATTGCAGCTCAAAAGAAAGCTGCATATCTTGAAGCACCAGATATTTGGGTTCCACGCTGTTTACCTATCAGTAAGTATTCCCACATCCTTCACTATGAACATATTGAACAGAGGCAAGAAGTTGTACAAGCAGCATTTTTCAGCCTTTTGTATGATCTCTGATGATCCCCGGTTGCCGACTGTCGTTTCTTTGAAGTCATTTTTTTCCAAGTCAATGAAAACATTCCAAGGTTTACTGATCTAATCTAATCCAATAGTGCTAGGCCTATTGCTGATGAGAACAAGTGAGTTTCTGAAATGTCGAAATTTTCGATAAACCCCAACTTTTGACTTGTGGTTCATCAAGAATTTCGTGACTCCAAAACATCAGTTCTTGTAGCAACATGCTTAGCAGTGTTGGGCTAGATAAGCAATACAACTTTGGAATGTTTTCGTTAACTATGAAGAAAGAAAAATGATTTCAAGGAAAAGACGGTCGGCCGGGGATCGTCACTGGATCATACAAAAAGCTGGAAAATGCGGCTTGTACAGCTCCTCGTTTGTGTCCAATATGTCCATAGTGAATGATGGTAGGAATACTTAGGATAGGTAGATAATATACGTTGGGAAATTCGGAATTTTTTTTCGAATATTCGAATATCGAATAATATTCGAAAATCGAAAATTTCGAATATTCGACTATCGAATATTATTCGGAAATGGAAGTTTTCGAAACGAATAATATTCGAATTTCGAATACCATTCGATATTCGGATTTCGAATATTATTCGGTTCTCGAATAATATTCGATTTTCGAATATCATTCGATTTTCGAATACTATGCGAATAAATTATGTCAGTGAGACTACCTGTGAGAGACCAAAACATCTCAGAATAAATTTTTTCAGGTATAGACATTTTTTTATGTTTCAATTTACAACGAAAAAACGGTTCAGTTGCAGTCCCGGCAAGAAGATGGGTGCCGGATTGTGGCGATGTTAAAGTAGTCCCCCCACCCCACCTAAGCGATGATTGATGTTCGGAGCGAAAAAGGGGGCTACCAGGCCTAAAATTTGCCCCGTAAGTGGCCCGGATCTTACGGCAGGCTAGTGAGTACGAGATGCATGCGGACGCAGAGTCGTTGCGGGACCCTGCGTCTGGGACTCGTGCGGGACTCATGACTGTGTGCGCTATGCGTTTGGCCTTGCAGTTCGAATTCGCTGTACGGGCGGCATTCGGGGACGAGAACCTAAAAGACGAGCCACTTTGGGAGCAATTTTAAGCTTACCAGACCCTCTTTTTCGCTCCGAACTTCGTCACCGCTTAGGTAGGGGGTCCAATTTAACATCGCCACAAATCCCCGGACCCATCTTCTGGGACGCTGCCTTCAAGAACCTAAAAGCGTACGTGACGGTTGTAAAGGAATTTCAAAAAAAAAGAAGATTAATTAACCTCATTGAGAGTTGTGGATTGACATACAGGGGTCCCAACAGTGTGTGAATCTGTGGGCTGACATCAACCTAGACTTACAGTATGAAGCGATGTATCGATCGCTTTTCACTGTTGTAAATTACCGTAGGAAAACTGAGGAGGGTTTTGAGATATCAAGAGCCGTTTGCCCAAGAATGAGAAACAAAAGGGCGATCTTACACTAAGCTTCTAAAGACACTCACTATATAAAGAATTTGCACTCAACCGTAACGCTTTTTGGGACTTATGCCAGGTACACCATAACAGATGTTTTCCAACGCTTTTCAAAAAAGAGAATGCACATTTAAAAGGATGGAAAGGCCGTGCGTAGTTGAACTTACGTAAAATCCTGCTACATAGATTTGAAATCTCTTTTTTGTTGAGGAAACTCTTTTGGATGTCTCATTTCGCAGTTGCTCTATATGCTAAGTTCATACCGTGATAACACAACAAGAAAAACATAGGTGATTTGCTTTCTGCTGTATTTGTAAGCTGAAGCCATCCCTACAGGATGTTACGTAAAGGTTGGCAAAAGACCATGAGAGGTATTAGCGATTAAACAGTTTGTACATACCCTTGGGACACCCCGTATATGTTGTGGATATCGAATTTCCGAATATTCGATGCTTCGAATTTTCGAATAGTCAATTCTTATCGAATCTTCGAATATTCGGTGCTCATCGAATATTCGAATATTCCATGGACATCGAATGATTGAATTAATGACCATCGAATATTCGACCATCGAATATTATTCGAAATCTAAGATTTTCGAATATTCGAATTTTCGAATCATTCGCATTCGAATGGTTTATTCGAATAATCGAATAATCATTCGATTCGGTCCAAAGTATAGTAGATAAGTAAAGTCCGGAAGTTCGCACTTGCACCCTCTCATTTACGAATCTGGCATTTCACAGAGTATTCAATCCAAAGCTTTATTCTGAAGCTTTCGCGAAGATTTTTTTGAATTTTTTCCCATTTTTTTCGAATGGGGTTGTGTGGAGGGCGTGCAGGATTTCCGCTTTTCTCCAGGTGTGCCCTTGGGAGGCAATATTTGCTTCGCGCCTAACTCGAATAGATCGCACATAGCTCGCACGTTTCTGATTTTGTTCTCCTTGGACAATCGCCTTGTTTCTCCTGACATTAATTGGAATGGTCAACACACAAGTAACTACTTGTTAGTAACCAAAAAATAAGTGTTTTATGAAGATCCGGTAAAATAGGCAGGATAGCAAGGCGAGTACTTCCACTTTTAGCGACAAATAAATAAACGAGTATCAAAAGCTAGTCATGCATCCTCATTTGCGAATGCACGCGAGTTGAGAGCTATTTTTAGAAATATACAGCTACAGAAGACAAATTGGAGTTATTTTTTGTTTCATAATTGAATTGGCCATGTATAAGATAATTTTCTTGTGAGAATCAATGCATTCAAATAGTATGCTACTTGAACAGTGGTCGTATTCATCAACGAAACCCGTGG